GTCAACATGGACTCATCAAGAGGAAATCATGCCTGACAAATCTGTTTGCCTTCTATGATGTCATCACCAACCGGGTAGGCAGGGGTTGTGCACCTTGACTTCAGCAAGGTGTCTGACATCATCTCCCACAACATTCTTGTTATCAAACTTAGAAAGTGTGGGACAGATGAGTGGATGGTGAGGTAGATTGACAACTGGCTGATTGGCACAGTTCTTCACAGAGTCTGGCTGGAGGCTTGTGACTAGTGGTGTTCCCCAGGGGCAGGCACTGGGTCCGATCTTGTTCAACATCTTCATTAACAACCTGGATGAAGGGATAGAGTCCATGCTCAGCAAGTTTGCTGATGGTACAAAACTGGGAGGACTGGCTGCCACAGTTGGGCAGGGAGGAACCTGATAAGGCTGAACAAGAGTATGGGCTGAGTCTTACGCCTGGGGAGGAATAACCTCATGCATCATTACAAGTTAGGGGCTGACCTGCTGGAAAGGAGCTTTGCAGAGAAAGACCTGGGGGTCCTGATGGAGCACAGGCTAGCAATGAACCAGCAGCATGCCCTTGTGGCCAAGAAAGCCAATGGTATCCTGGGGTGCATTAAAAAGAGCGTGGCCAGCAAGTCAAGGGAAGTGATCCTCCCCCTCTGCTCTGCTCCGGTGACATTTAGACATTTAAAATACTGTGTTCAGTTCAAAAATAGATAGGGATTTCTGGGAAAGAGTCCCATGCAGGGCCACAAAAATGATAAAAGGCCTGAAGCACCTACCATATCAGGAAAGTCTGAGTAACATTGGTGTGTTCAACCTCGAGAAAAGACGACTGAGATGGGACATGATTAAATATTTAGAAATATCTAAAGAGAGGCAGGAGGCAGATGGATGAGGCCAGGCTCTTCTCGGTGGTGTGCAGCAATAGAACAAGGAGTAATGGCCTAAAACTTGAACATAGGAAATTTCATACAAACGAGGAAAAATATCTTTACACTGAGGGTGACAGAACACTGGAACAGGCTGCCCAGAGAGACTGTGGAATCTCCTTCTATGGAGATATTCAAGACCCTCTGAATGCCTACCTGTGTGATCTACTACAGGGTACCTGCTTTGGCAGGGGATTTGGACTCAATGATCTCAAGGTCCCTTTCGACTTCTGTAATTTTATGATTCTGTGGTAAACTCTCCACTCGACTACCTGAACCGGCTGGTTAGTTGAAAGCAATACAGCATGCGCACATGTGCAAGCTTCACAGCTCCCTCAGCCTACTGACCCAGCAGCCTCTACTAAAATAGGCTTTCAGATACCAAAGTACCTAAAATAATGGATAGGGTGGACACCTATGCAGCAGATCAAAGATAACATCAAAATTTGTATATGGACAAAATCTCTCTAAATTGATCAGATAAAATCAGAATGGGAGTAAAAGAAGCATTTGTGCCACTTGGGTCTTCTTCAGAAGTACATGCTCTGCTTCCTTCCCTCTTTATATGGTATGCTACAAATGTGCTGAGAGCTCCACAGACCATTTTTCCTTCCTTCTCTGCTATACTCACATCCTCCAAATATATCTTCCCAAGCAAGAACGTAAATAATGTCTTAAGACAAGAATGATTCAGTTTCCAAGTGGTGCCTTTTTCAACCCACCACGGCCTGGACTTCTCTCAAAATTCATACCAGCTTATTTCTTCATAACTCCCCTCTCCAGCTCACTGTCAATATCCCAGCTGCATTCTCATCCTCTGCTACACTTGCACATGAATAAGTAACTGTTACACAGGCAGATATTTCAGTGTTTGCACTTGTCTTTAGAAATCAAAGCCTTCTCTGATTAAATGCCATTACAGTCCAGCGCTTGGACGGATCCAGAGAGATTAATGTGCTCTTGGGCAGCTTTAATGATAATCCTGCTACAGACGGTATTAAGTAAATGTCAGTAACCTGGTTTGAAGGGAGCTTTCACCTCAGGGATCTTTTCCATTTAGAGAAGAGAAGCTCAGCTTGATTTCAAGGCTGCGTTGTCACAAAAGAGAAATCCTGCTTACTGAATACCTCTCTTTCTCAGCTCAGTAAAACAAAATGGAGTAAGGTGATAGAAGGATTGATAAACAGATTGAAGTGATATATGGGGAACTAATGCATCTCCTGAAAACAAAAACTGCTGTATAAGTCACATCGTAGTTTTGGAACTTTTGTTGCCACCCCCTCCACAAGTTCCTTTCAGTGCCTGCCGCCTTTTGCTCATTTTGCCACCACGCCATGTAGATCCTTACCCATAGCATCAAGCAGCAGCAAATACTGGACTTTGGTCACTCCTGTTCCCATCTGCTGCATCTCACACCATTCCTACCTCACCTTACTGTGGCCACAGTAACAGATCTTATATCTCATCATATACTTCTCACAGGGCTGGTGCCCTTTCTTTTGTACTGTTACTTTACTGGCAGTCAGGAAAAGATGATCATTAATTTGGAGGAGCAGGGAGAGAAAGAAAGGAAGAACGGCTCAGCACAGGTACTGAAACAGTCAGCAGAAATGTGTGATTCTACCACTGAGATGAGCAACATCACACACGTGACAGACTACCAGAAACCTCCACGGCTTATACTTTGCCATAGTAAAAATTTGTTGACAACTTTTTTATAATTACATTTTTACAGGTCAGTAAAATACGTGGTTTCATTGCTGCACGGAACCTAGCCTGCCAAGGTATCACAAAACAACCTTCCCAAAGGAACAGATGAACAAAAACAAGAGCTCAATTTTCTAAATCTAAAGGTTCTAAATCTCTTCTATTAAAGCGAAGACCCCTGAAAGTTAGGGAAAAAAAAAAATGAAGTCAGCTTCTTCTGTACTTGATTTTGACATATACTCTCAGCAAAATATCCCATCGAAAAGCTGAAGTTATTGAGTTTTCCACATTGGCTGTCTGGAGAAAGCCCTGGAAGATTGCCAAGAATGCACTTCCCTGGGCTTCTCCATACAACTTTGAATTCTCAAACTGCTGGAGGCAGCAAACAACCAAAGTGTCAAGCGGATCTGCTGGGCTGGTTACCTCAGTCTCAGAATAGATCTTCTGTCCAAGAACTCTGAGGAAGCCCTGCCCAAAATGTGCATGTAAATATCGTTCAAGAGTCCTCCTGTTAAGGCATCAAAATGAGCCTGACTATTTCAAGGCTGGATATTGAGGAATATTTAGTCTTGTATCTAAGTGCTGCGGACTAGATTTGACCTTTGCCCATATAGCAGAAAAGGGCTTATGTAAGATATATTTGCTCAAAGAAACAACTCACTTTGGACCAGTTGTTTTGTCTGGGAAAATGGAGCTGACTGGTTGTTCTGAAGTCGAACTAGGCTTTTTAAATTTCAGGTGACAGAGAAGTCCACCAGCTATCATGTTCTTCTGAGTCACACAATGACGCATCATGCAGGAACCTACCTTGGTAAATATAAAGGAAGATAATCAGCACAAAATAGACACAATTGTGTCTACCTCTGATCAGTTGACAATCATTTCTCTGACTCCCTGATGGGAGTGAGGAGAGAAACTAATGACCAAAATGCTCCAGATGCTTCCTGATGGAGATGTGAAAGAAGACAGACTGCATTATATACAAGGAAGTTATTCAAGAAGCCTCTTTAATAAAAATTGATCAGACATCTTTCAGAGAAGTCATTCACTACTGTCCATTGACCTTGACTTGTTCATCATAATTAGAATGGAAAGAGACTCAAAATCTATTTTAACCTTTGAATTTTCTTTCCCGTATTTCAGTGGTGAAACAAGAAAAGGTGCCTGCAGCAGTTACTAGAAAATATTTTATTGGCTTCTGCTGGGTGTAAGAGCAGAGAAAGAAGTGTTCTGTCCAGAGAAAAAGGCAGGTTGTTTAGTCCTCCACCAGACATTTTTCTGTTATCATGGTGACTTAGGGAAGCAGCTGAGAAGATACATACAACATTCTCTCTTTGCGAGGCATACCAAACTCACTTTTCCCTTCCCCTGAAACACCCTTGGTATATCTTAACCAACATCACAAGAACTTTCTTACAGATAGAAAGAAGAAGCAGAAAGGAAGAAGAGTAAAGAGAGAGAGGAAGCATTCAGAAGTGAGAATTAAGTGGATGGACAGATTAAGTACAATTGATTTTGCTAGCTTTAATAGCCAATCAACCAAGTGTGGCTTTGAGGTTCACAAACAGGGCACAATGAGAAAGGCAAAAAGCACTGCCTCAGTCAGCATTCACTGACCAAGAGGGCTGGTTTTCCACATTGTTGAATGGCCCAAAACTCTTTCCTCAGGCACCTTAGCTTTCTTGTAAGTAATGCCTTGTTTCCTCAAGAATCTCTTAGCCACAAAGAATCCAAATCTTCCAACTTCATGGCACACAAATTATCTTATCCATCAGAGAAATATGGCTTCCCCAGGGATGAAATCTAGCAGTTGTTCAATGAGGGACAAGAAAATTACACAGTAGTATTGGAGCAAGAAACAAAGAAAAAAACTATTGAGTTACATTCAAAAGAAAGATTTCGGAAATCAGAATTGAACAATCCAAGAATATTATGCAAAACACCATGGGTCAAGCCACTCCAGTAACTAGGATCATACAGGGCCTATAATCTGTGCCTCCTAATGGGTTACAAAAGCTATATCCCATGCATTTGCCCAAGAGAAAGTTAATGCTGAAGAAAGATAGAGGAAGAAAAGAGACAAAAAGATCTGAAGCTGAAGCAGTTCTACTAGGATAACACAGACTGTCACATTGAAACAAAACATTGGTGTGCACAGTATAGAAGCATGGTTATCGCTCTGAAGATCTCTAGCTGTACAGTCCTACAGAAGAGTGTTCCCAAAAGGGATTGTATACATTCCCAAAAGCAAAAGAACTAAGATCTTTCAGATTGATTACTCTCTTCATACAAATATACGCTCCCTTTTCTGCCCCTTCCTGTCCTATCAGCCTTGGTCTAACATTGCTCACATGCCCAGTTCAGAGGCAGCTGAGAAAATACCTCATTGACATCAATGCCATTCTTCTCCATGTATGCCTTGTCGTTCACCTGTCCCCCTTCCATGAATTCCATGAGAAGAACACGCCTTGTTGAGAGCTCCCAATAGATTCTGGGGACCTGAAAAGGGAATAGATGGCTTTGGTAAAACAACAGGCTGGGGAAAGGAAGGAGAACATATCACAGTTCAGAAAAGGAACAAAAAAAGCAAGAGGTTGAAATAAGGACTTCTTTTCTCCCCAAGCACAACAGAGGTAAATCCATCTAATGGCACTGCAGGTCACTTCCTGGGACAATACACTGCAAAACAACACACCAATACAACAGTAGAAGAGTCTGTGCTTCTGGAACATTTCAGGCACTGCTCTATGAGAGTTTGACCTCTTCCCACTCCCACTATTGTCTGATATCTCTTCCTTATCTGCTTCACAGCTCCTAAAACCGACTTGCTCAGTACTAACTACAAGTTTCTGAATCATTCACTTGGTGCCTTTAGACAGGAAACAGATCTCCTTCACTACACACAGGGCCCACTTACACAGTTCTAGAAATGATAAGACATCATCATAAATTGCATCTCAGTAGTGCTCCTTGAAACACAAACGCATTTGAGCTGACAAACCCCACGTATTTAGGCCATCTGCAATCAAACTAGGAGAAAAATCAAGTGTCACAAATAAAAGGCATGTCATAGAAACCCTGGGATACCCTTAACTATCTAATTGCCAATGTGACACAGCAACGAGTGTAAAATGTCAAAGCATTTTTCATTCAATCCGCAGTAAATCAAGCTGAGTTAGGTCTAAGGAAGAGGCGCTGTATCACACAGAGATGCAGTGACGCAGTATAACAAAAGTCTTAGCTCAGGCAGGCCCCCCCTTTTCCAGTCTCTATGAGAAATTCTTTCTGTGCTGAAGCTTCTACTGTCAAAAGACTGGTATTACTGAAGTTCCCTTTGGATACTCCTCACACTGTTGCTCTTCAGTGTCTCAAGCCGTCCATATTTATCTTCATATGTAGGAGAAATTAGAGGGGTACGTTCTACCAAGGACATAAGAGAGCTCCATCTATTCCCACTACTGTACCCCAGTTCATAGAATCATAGATTTGAGTTGGAAGGAGCCTTTAAAGGTCATCTAGTCTAATTCCTCTGCAACAAACAGGGACACCTACAGCTTGATCAGGTTGTTCAGAAACCTGTTCATCCTGTCCCTGAATGCCTCCAGGAATGGGGTATCCACCACCTCTCTGGGTAACTTGTTCCAGTGCTTCACTACTCTTAGCATAAAAAATATTTTCCTTATATAACCACTCTTAGATTGAAATAATTTCCACTTATCCTGTCACAATAAACCCTACTGAAGAGCTTGCCCCCTTTTTTAAGGGGCCTCTGTTTAGATACTGAAAGGCTGCTCTCAGGACTCCCCAGAGCCTTTTCTTTCCCACACTGAACAGTCCCAGCTCTCCCAGCATGTCCTTGTAGAGGAGGTGTTCCATCCCCAGTCATTTTTGTGGCCCTCCACTGGATATGCTCTAGCTGGTCCACATCTTTCTTGTACTGAGGATTCCACATCTGGATGCAGTACTTCTCACCAGTGTAGAGTAGAGGCAGGATCACCTGCCTTGACCTGCTGCCCATGCATCTATCAATGCAGCCTAGGATACAGTTAAAACAGATACATATTTTGGATTCTGCAAAGAGAAAGACACCCATGCAGCTTCCTATCCTTATTCACAACTCAGCTGTGAACTTAAATTCACACACTTCAAATGTCCACCAACTAGGGTAGGGCAGGAAAAGATAAGAATTGTTATCCATCTAATTAAATCTAAACCGAAGTAACCAGCCAAGCTGCTTTTAGCTTTTAGCTTATCAGAACTCTTGAACAAACAGTGGTTGTTTTATACTCTGCTTGTAACTACTGACAATGCCTCAGTCCCTCACAATTCCACAAACTACCTGCCTCCTGCACTGTTCCTATTCTAGAGAGCTCATTTATCCAATGAGCCGATTCTACCTTACCACATACGTGAGACCAGACCAAAGAGTCCTTTGCTGGGCAATTTCAATAGCTCTCAATCTTGCTGCTCAACACTCCTAGGATACCTTGCATGTTAACCTCACATACACTTGGATGCTAAGGGATTCATTCAACAGGGATTCAGTCACCTGCACTTGTGGTGGTTTCACATTAATATACAGCTATGCTCCACCACATTGCTCTCTACTGTCAACAACTCTATATCCAGGTAGAGACCAGACACAGGTGCTATCTCCTAGTGCTCTTCAATATCTTTATCAATAACATAGACAGTGGGATCGAGTGTGCCCATAGCACGGTTACTGATGACCCAAGCTGAATGGTGCAGTTGACACAATAGAAGGGAGGGACACCAACCAGAGGGAGCTGGACATGCTCAGAAACTGGGCACAAAAGAATCTGCACATGGTTTACAGGCTGGTTCAGCCCAGTCTAATGGGGCAAGTGGGACCCATGGACCCAAGCCCTAGGAAAGCAGGAAAGGAGAAGAGGGGAAAAAAGGGTAGGGAGAAGGGTCTAACAACACAACAGTGGCAGTGATCTGAGGAGGAAAGTTAATTTATTAAATATAATATTGGAATGCAAGATAACACAATATACTACAATATAATTAAATTAAGGCTAAGAAATCAAATTAAGTGAGCAAGAGAGCATCCAAAACCAAAGACCTTACTCTAATGAAGACAAGATGGCCAGGGAACACAGGTGCAGAGACGAGCAGTGAAAGAAGGGCACATCTTGTGACCTGCAAACAGTTTTATCTTTCCTACTAAGAGAAAATGGAAACAGAATAGTTGAAGTCTTCTGGGAGATGTAGTTCTTCCTCTCTTCTGAGGACCACGTACCCAAAAATATCAAGAATCCATGGAACTGGAACATTAACTCTTTAACTCCCAGTGCACTGTATGACGTTACGATGCGATATACCAATAACAATCATAAAACCATGACAGAATCTAATCAGGTTTAACAAGGCCAAGTGCAACATGCTGCATTTTTCTCAAGGCAATCTCAGATATGAGTACAGATCAGGGGAAGAACTCCTCAGTTGAGAAGAATTTGGGGAGTTCTGATGGATGAAAAGCTGGACATGGGCCACCAGTGCTGTCTTCTGGCCTATAAGGTCAACAGTACCCTGGGCTCCATCAAAACACTGTCAGTTGCCCAGTGAGGTTGTGGATGACCCTCTATGGAAGCACTCAAGGCTAGGCTGGATAGGGCTTTGAGCAACATTGTCTACAGGGAAGTGTCCTTGCCTATAATAAAGGGGTTGAAAATAGATGATCTTAAAGGCCCCTTCCAACCCAAACCATTCCATGATTCTATGAAAAGAGCAGTGACCAGCAGGAAGGAGGAGATTACTGCCTCTGCTCTGCCTCCGTAAGGCCCCATCTGGAGCACTATGTCCAACCCCAGGGACACCAGCACAAGAAGGATGCAGTTGTTGAAGAGGGTCCAGAGGAGATCCATGAAGATGATCAAAGGGCTGGAACACCTCTCCTATGAATAAAAATTGAGGGAATTAGGCATGCTTAGCTTACAGAAGACTTCGGGGGAGTCTTCACAGGAGTCTCCCAGTATTTAAAGGGTGATTGTAAGTAGGAGGGAAATCAACTTTTTACATGAGTAAATAGTAACAGGACAAGGGGGAACAGCTTTAAAATTATAGAGGGGATATTGAGATTAGATGTCAGAAATAAATCCTTTACTCAGAGAGTGGTGCTGGTGCTGCGCTGGAACAGGCTGCTCACAGAAGTGGTAGATGCCCTATCCCTTGAAGCATTCAAGGCCAGGTTGGATAAGATATTGGGCAGCCTGGTTTAGTGGCTGGCAACCCTACCCATGGCAAGGGAATTGAACACTAGACAATCTTTAAAATGCCCTCCAACTTAAGCCATTCTATGATTCTGGGACTAGAACAGTGAGAAACAAAAACCAAAACGGTTTCATGAGACCTCATCTAGAGTACAGTGTTCAGCTCTGGAATCCACAATGTAAGAAACACATGGAGTGCGTCTAGAGAAATGCCACAACGAGCTCAAGGACAGACACAAGAGGGCTGGAGCATTTCTCCTATTAAGAAAAGGCTGCGAGTTGACATCGTTCAGACTGTAGAAGAAAGGGTTCTAGGGAGAACCCACTGCCACCTGTAAGAAACTAAAAGGAGACCAGCAAGAAAGATGGAAAGGGGCACTTAATGAGGAAATGTAGCTATGGTAAACAGGCCAATTGTTTTAAACTAAAAGAAGGTAGGTTTAAATTAGATACTAGGAAGATATAATTCACTAAAAGGGTCTTGAGACACTGGAACAAGTTGCACTGGAATAAGTTGCTCAAAAAAGCTGTCGTTCCCTCCCTGCAAGTGTTCGAGTTGGACGAGGCTTTAAGAAACCTGATCTACTGAGCAGTGTCTCTGACAGTGGCAGGGGAGCTGGAACTAGATTATCTTTAAGGTCCTTTCTCACTCGAACGCTTTTTTGATTCCATGATTCTATAAAAACACCTTCCATCACCATCCATCCTCTTCTTGCCTGCATTAGAAATACTGTGGCCAGCAGGAGCAGGGAGGTAATAGTCCTCCTGTACTCAGCACTGGTGAGGCCACACCTCGAGTACTGTGTTCAGTTTTGGGCCCCTCACTACAAGAAAGACATTGAGGCCCTGGAGCGTGTCCAGAGAAGGGCAACAAAACTGGTGAGGGGTCTGGAGCACAAGTCTTATGAGGAGCGGCTGAAGGAGCTGGGATTGTTCAGTCTGGAGAAGAGGAGGCTCAGGGGAGACCTCATCCTTTCTCCTCCTCCCTAGTGGTGCCAGAAGACAGAGAATGAGGATTACAGTCAGCCTCTGTCAGATCACATTCACCTGCTCTATGAGGAGCTCCTTCCCACTGCTGCAGGGGAAATTCTGCTCTGTGTCTGGAGCACATCCTTCACTCCTTCTTCACTAACCTTAGTGGCTGCAAGGGCTGCTCATCTGTTTCTCACTTCTCTCCCCCCCACTTCCCTTTTATCTGACATGGGTCAGTTGAGGGCTCTACTCACAAAGGCTACCCCTGCAGCTCTCATCATACCAAAATCCTGCCACACAAGTCCCATACAGCAATCTTCCCAGCTTATCTGGATGTTCACTCTTTGCAGAGTTATATTCATGAGAAAGCAAACAAACTCCAAAACAAGAAGCCCCCCAGAGTCCCTCTAGCTGCTGTGGTCTGCCTCCTAGACACAGATCCTCACTGCCTTAGATCATTTCAGACGACACTCATTCTTGTCTCAAGATTTACAGGGGCAAGTCAAAGGGCTTACAAAGAACAATCTAAGTTCTTGGAAATATCTCTCTCACTCATAGATGAATTCTTCAGTGACTTTTTTAATTACTCACAGATGCTTGGGTGTAATGCTAGTGCATGGAAACAATTTATCTCTGGCTTTAAAAGCTCAACCAGGTTCACAGCACAAAATCCACTTCTTGGCTTTCTTGAGTGTTTAGGAAAATTAATGATACAAGAGCCCAATTCTTCTGTTGCCTTCGGGTGATGAACACGTCTCTGAATTGGCAGGTCAGACAGCAGGATCCATTATTTAGTCATCTCAAGCCATTTGTTACACATGTTGATATCATGATAGCTCCTTAACCCAGCAAGAAAGTGATTGGCCGTCTCCATGGGGATTTACTTCACAGTCTCCTAGTTACAGCTGCAACAGATACAGCTCACCAAGGTACTTCTGATAAGTGCCCACCCAGCAAAATCATTGGCCTTTGGCCTTCTGTAACCCTGGTGGCTTTTAGCTATCTGTGTTTACAAAAAGGCCAGTTGCTGCCACTGAGCTTCAAAAGGCCTGCCCCAAACCTGGTGACAAGGAATTGTAGCCTTTGCATGGAGGAAGCAAGGAGAAAATGGACACATAGGCGTGTAAAGTCTAACAAAAACTCTATTCACTTCAGACATCCATCACTTCCATCTTGGGACTTCTGCATAAACAGGAGATCAAAATCTTGTGTTGGTATCTGTATGCAGGAGGGTCCAAAGGAACAGGTATTTTTTGCTGTCACTGGATATGTGCAAATGCAGTTATGTGAACTGTGGCTACAGGTCTACAAGCGCTTGAGCACACCTGGGTATTTCCAGAATGCACACAGCAGAAGCCTGTGCCTCATATGCGTCAGCAAGAAGATGCTCATACGCAAGTATGCAGACATGAGCACATCTGCAGACAGGGAGATGAGTGCATATCTGGTTGTACCTGAAACATTTGTCAGTGACCTCTGTCAGTGTGTGGTAGGAGAGGTGGCATATGTGTATCAGTGAGGAGAAACACCGTATGGGTGCAGCTGTTTGTGTATGAAGGTAACATGAGTGCATTAGCCATGGATGTGTAAGGACAACATATGCTTACTTCAGAGAAAGAATATACTGTCTTAAAGGAGGAAAGATATATGCAGACATGTTTCCTCCTGAAATATACACACAGTACACCAAACCCTTCTTGACATCCTCAGCCTTATTCTAGTTTGGTGGTCAGAATCAGCAGAGTAATCTAAGAACACAAAAGGACTGACCACCACTCTCCCTCCATATAGTTCTTCCAGGTGACAAATGAGGTGCATGAGAACCATAAAGTGAGACTATCAATGCACATACATACATGGGAACATGTATTCCCTCACCTTCAGGAAGTCAAAGTTCTTGAGCATCTGAGCAACCCTTTCAGCATTTCTGCCCTCATTGAGGAAATCCAATTCCAAAGGCAGATTCTTTTTTGCTTCATCCACCAGCCACATGAACTCAAAATCTGGAAAGATCTGCTTCACAATCAAGAGAAGAACCTGAGAACAATGAAACAGACAGTCAGCCACACTCCAGTTTCAAAGCCACACAGCTACCACAGTGCTGCGCTGGCAGCTACAAAAAGCAGATGCTGTTTTGACAGGATTATTCCATGTAACTTAAACATATAAAAATTTAAAAATCCACCTTAAGTACTTATAGGATTTCTGCAGTATTATAATACATTATATGGCTTCATGCCTTGAGTCTGCAACACAAATTTTGGCTTGCCCTTCCACACAGACACATCCAGGAGTGAAATAATCAGACACAAAAGAGTAGCAGCCGGAACCCAACTGCCTGCTGCCTAAAACTGAGTGATCAAAGCCCTGGAAATGAGAGGACAAGACAGATCTTTCCAAGAGAACAGCCCAGCAATTACTTTCTGTTGAGTCTTTAACTCTTTTAATTCCATAAGTCATGGTTTGGCTTCATTGGAATAGAAAAATTGGAATCTAAAAATAAGATTTATCACCTCTGTGTTACTTCTTCCACTACCAAACAAAAATTTTGCTAATTCAGAAAATCCATCAGGCAATTCAAAGAAAACAGTGGAATTCAGATACAGCGAGTAAGCAACATGTCTTTAAACAAACTTTTGGTGAGGAGCGAGTTGCCTCTCAGTGTCAGTGACAGCAACTCTGAGGTAGCATCCTCTTCTTAAGGGAACTAGGCAGCTTCACATGGCTTTGAAAATATCTACTGAAATGATTCTGGAAATGTTTTAGAGCAACTTGTACTAAAGGAGCCAGTGAAAGGCACTCCTTCCTGAAGCTTATCCAAGACTATGTGTCTGGATGGCAAAACCAAAGCTGCACAGCAGCCAAGAATGCTTTCTATTCAGATGAAGGGCCAGTTTCTCAGCCAGTGTCACAAATACAGAAAAGCTGACAATTTGGAGCACATGTTAAGGAAGAAATATATATATTTTTTAACTACTGAGTCATGAAACAAAAATAATACTTAATACTTAATTCACAAACTTTATCTTACTTGTTCTGTACATCATCTGAAAATGAAAACAAATATGCCATGGTGTTCCTGGACAGTTTTCTTTCTTAGATCTCCACCAACAAGGTGGGGATTCCTGTACTGCAGGAGGAACATTAAAACAAGCACAGAAAGCTGTTATCATTGAAACGTATGACAAAAAATAAATTTGTGAACCATCACTGCCACTGTTCAGCTATGTGAAAACATTTATTCTCCACCTCTCTCTCTCTACTTCTCTTATCTAAATGTCAGTTCCAAATTCAATGTTCCTTTAAAATGTAATCACCAGGTTCCAGACACTACTGAATGATTTTTACTGTTATATCTAAACCCACAAATCCTTACAAATTTATGTCATCCAAATGAAATGTAACCAACAATCTTCATGAACATGTACATAAACTTTATAGGAGCTATTGATGCTTGATGTGAGAAAATTCAGACATTGTTTTTGCTTCCTCTGAATGCTCTTTAGAACCAATTTGCCAACTTGACCATCAGCAGTGACATACTTGAAAAATATTTGGCTTGTCACTTTTCTGACATCTGTCTAACACATTGTCCTGAAATAAGAATTGACATAAGAGCAGAGGGATCTCTCCCTGGATTTATCAGATGGTGTCCTGATTTTTAAAGAGTCAGAAAATTATGTTACGAAATCACAAGTGAATTCAGGAATTTTCCATCTATATTCAGATTTTTTTCCATCAGTCTCTAAAGAAGACTGTCTCCAACAACATTTAAATTAACCTCCTATCTAACTGCAGTGGCTGATTCTTAAAGGACCAGAACCTCAGTGCATATAACCTAGCTTTAAATGCAGCCTTATCAAACACAGTTCCACGCAAGGATATGATGATGTATATTTAAACCAACACTCCAGTGGAGGACCATTAAAAAAAGACCAAATGCATCACGTTGCGAGGTATTTTCCCAAAAATGTGTGCACATAATGGAGCTCCAGTATGACAAACTAGATTGTCTGCAGAAAAGACAATACCAAACTGACAAAAGGATGCACACTGCTTTAGTTCTACATTTCCAAAGAGGATTAGTCCAAAAACAGGAAAAAAAAATCATTAAATTATTTGTCTGAATCTCTCTTAACAGCATAATTACCAATCACAGTGTCATAAGGTGAGGGGGGATTTTTTTCCTGTGGTGTCCACTGTTTACAGCACAAATGGCTGAAGGTGAATCTAGGTCTTGACTCATTCATACACAATTCTCTTACTGTGCTGATCTCACAGTCTTTCTTCATCTTGTTCAGTCTTGACTGCTCAGTTTCTGCTATGCTGTCCTGAGCAGGAATGAAGGATGCCAAATGACAACTCACAAAAGCAAAGTCATGGGGCAGACTACTGCAGTCAGTCCTGAAGAAAATCTGGATCAAATCCAAAACTACAACTGGCACCGAAGCCAGTTCAAACTGTTCTCTGTTCTCAAACAAGTCCAGAATCAAACATATTCCATATTAACAGAATATATATTTATCAAACTCCAAAATTTATGCTACTAGTAATTCAAAATAAATGATGCTACAATTTGATGTGCTCTAACTGGAATCAGCTGTGTTGGTTTGCAGACTACCAAGATTGCTCAGAGCACAGTGTTTTATTGGTTTAAAAAGTTTTAGTTACGCACTGCTCTCTGAAAGGGTGCTGGATCTTTGTTTCCTGATCTGTTGTGATGGAGAAGTGTGTCATTGCATCAGCAGTATCCTCAAAACTCTTATCAGGCAGGCTTCCTGAGCTTCAACTTCTCTTTAGTCCCAAGAACATAATGTCTACTAAAGATGTATTACATTGCATTTCTGCTATACGTACAGATATGTACTTATTGGAGAGCTAAAAGCATTAGTACTAGCACTTACAGATCTAACCTTTCATCTCTCCTCCATCTGAGCCCCACTTCCATTTCTGTACCATACCACTGGCATCCCTGATTATTACAATGCAAGCACAGTACCACAGCTTTTCTCCAGTTTCTCTCTTCAGTGGACTAGACTTCAGGAGATTGAGAGAAGCCACAGCACTGCACTGGGAGCACAAGCAGTGCCTACCATTCAGGAGAGAAACTTGTTCCTAGCTGAACCCCTCTTTTGTGCATCTGTTCCTGTTACGTTACACTCTCCATATTTCAATGTTTTTATTTCCACCATGAATCAGGTCAGCATTAAGGTGTCAATCAAGAAACAGAACTGAATCACACCAGCCTTAACCAAAAAAACACACTGACGTTGGTGAATGATTACTCTTTGGTTACTGTGGAAGTTCCAAAGCTACAGAACTGATTAATGTTATACCTGCTCACTCCTTGTCATTTGCATTACAACTGTCAAAATCACCAGGCAGCTTTACCTCCATGAGGAAAATATCCTTGGAGCTCTGAGCTTGGACCTTTGGGTGCTGGATTTTTACTGCCACCGTTCTCCCGTCCTGCAGCACTGCCTTGTGCACCTGGGCTAGTGATGCTGCTCCCAAAGGTGTGTCCTCAAAACTCACAAAGAGTTCTTTTACCTGTCAGGAAAAGGGAAAGAGGCATCAGCTTGGGGTGCCAGAAACCACCCATAAGGAAAGCCTTGACCACTGGTCAGAGGCAGTATGCACCAAATCTGTGCAGTCTCAGTTCTTTCATCATTTCTATGTCCTCTGCCTACCCTTTTCATTGCTTGGCCTCCCAATGAAGCCTGCCCAGCAAGGAAGTGTTCTTAGAAGTGGTCTGTTTATGGAAACCTATGTCAGAGTGTCAGCAGCACATGTCATCTAGGACGTGGAACAGCCAAGGCACCAGGAGAGGGACCACTGCAAGCTGTCTTGAAAACAATTTGGAGAAATTATGGTCAGCATCCTTGGCTATTGAGGGGTGCTGTAGCCACTATTAGCACAGTAGCATGATATCATCCTGGCAAACTAGGCAGGCTCCTCTGCTCCCCTAAAAAGGGGTGCCAACATGGTTATGTTTGTGCTAGTTTGCGTAATGCTGATTAGGAATTTTTGTCCTGCTCTGCAGAGCAAGATACACACAAGCTCTAAGATATCTCTAAGAGTCAGCAAAGAGAACACTTCCCACCCTTTGCCTGGGCTGGACTGATGTTGAGTGAACAGTTGAGAAACCTGTAATTTATGCAGCAAAAAAAAAAAAAAAAAAAAAAGACAAAGAACATCAGTGCATTTTTATAACCTGCTTTTTAAAAGGTAATTAAAGATGGAAGCTGCAGTGAGCTAGTAATTAAGTATGAATAAAGACTTAATAAGCGAAGTCTTCATGCAAAGTGTTAAACGAATATTCTTTTTGCTGACAAGGAGAAAAAAATACTATACGAGGAGCAGCTTGTTCCCTTCTGCAGCTGCCAGGGAATGAGCCCCCTCCTACACCACCCTACCCCCTTCCCTCCCAACCCCTTCCACAGAAATCTATTGGTAGCAACAAACTGGAGCGTTTGCAGCAATTAGATTCCAACAGTGGCTCAGCTGCCTCCAGCAATTCACAAGGAAGGTGTCTTATTTATTTATTTAATTCTGTTTGGTCCTGGCAGCAAAATCAATTAAGTAAAACAACTGCATTTAAAAACAACTAGTTATGTGTTTTTTAATTACAGCAGGTCCATAATTCAAACCTATTGACATTCCTGTCTCGTGAGAGAAAACGTTTTTTTTTCCTCTTCCTCCTCCCTCTTTTCTCTCTCACTTCACTGGATTTTGAGATTCTCATTTCAGATTAGTATAAAGAAAGAAACACCTACAGGATGACAGATGGCTCAAGGGATGTGTTGAGAGACAGATTTCTACCTTTGTGTGGTTTGTCTATCAGATGAAGAGGGAGCCCGTTAAGAAGAGACTTAAGGTGCCAGGAGGAACACATTGGATACTACGATATTCTTAAGGAAAGAAAAAACACCAACAGAGAATTTGCTACCTGAGGTCAAGCTGGGACTTTCTTCACCTCTTCTACTACACCACACCTCACATTAAAGGAAAATAGCCTTTACAGGATCCCAGACAACATTACCACTCCACCTGTCACAAAGACAGTAAGATCCTCCAAGAGGTTAAAGCACAGAACTGGGAGTGCACTGGCCTGAATCCATTGTAAGGTACATTTTTAGCAAAACTGCATCTAAACTGCATAAAATTCCAGCTGCTCTGGATCTCAAAAACTTTTAATTGCCTACACTGTCAATCCAATCATTTTCACCACTACTGAATGTGTACGGGGGGGAAAAAAGCTGCACATATTCCTTCTAGTAGGAATAATATATACAATATTCTTGTGTGACCAAGTTTTCCAAGGAAATATCATTTGAAGAAAGTTGTCTCAAGAAATTCTTTTGGGCAGAAGGATTTCATTTAAAATCTTTTTATTAAGGACAAGAAAGCCAAGTTAGCATTCCTGTCCACTAGAGCCAGCACAGCAGCCCTGCTGCAGTTCAAGGGGAAATCTGTGCTTGCCTGCAGGCTCCATGCCAAGACACCAGGGGGAGGGACCACAATGGGGTCAGAGAATTGATGGCTCCTATAGGAGCAGAAGAGGAACGCAGGCACACGAGGGAGGGAGCAGATCACAGCCAGACCATTACATGAGCAGGTGTGAGACTGAGATAAAGCAGCAGCAAAATTACAGCAGAGCTCCAGGACCCCACTTAGCAAATTGCCCTCATTCATTATGAAATTGTCCTTTTGCAGTGTGCTGGAGGCAACTAGTGCCTCTGAAGTGGGCTGCATGTCCCAGAGAGGCAAAAGTGAGTATGAGGCTGCGTGCTATGGAGGCAGAAAAGGGGGGAGCCAGGCTCCTACAGTGTCTGTCACAGAGGTCCTTCCCAAGCGAATGGGTGCACCCAGTTCTTGGAGCAGGCTGTATGCTCTTACTGCTCACGAGTACCCAGTGACCCTTACAAAAATTCCGCCCACCATTTCCATGGTGGCTAATTAGCAAACAAAGATCTGGGGGAGTTTTGAAGCTCACCTGACGTGGTACTTAAAGAATTTTTGTTCCAGGCCACAGCTCATCTCAAAGGGCTTTATCAAACTGGTTGTAACCATCTGCAATCCTAGCAGGAGATTAAACAAGCATGATTTCCAGACAGGTTTAATAAAGGTTTAAAAGAGAGAATAGAAACTTTACCAGTGTTCTTCCGAATGAGCATGACAACGAGCTGCACGTTTACAGCTGCAAAGGTGGGCAGCATCCCTACACACAATGGTTTCCCTCATTAGCTTTCTGTACATCCCACTCCACACTGGGCATGTGCTCAACCAGCAAATGAATATGTCATTGTACTTCACTGGTCGGAAACAGCCCTGGCTGCTTAATTCTAAAGAATGAAGCTTGTTTAAAATACGCAAAATCTTTTCATGATCGTTGGTATTAGTATTCACACCTTAGGGAGCTGATATAAAAGCTCCTTGCAGGATCCATCTACTCAGATGCTTCTTAGCATGCATTTGTGCTGAGGTTGCACCTAAGCACTGTTGTTAAGCCTAGAGTGCTATTGTACAAGGTGCAGAGCCATGCAAGCCCCGCACAAGCTCTCACGTTCTAGTTGTCCCAGGTTGTTGCCCACAATTCTCCTCATGCACTGAAGCATCTTCCCAAAGCACACACTGCTCTGCATGAGCTCCATGGCACACGTCAGCTGATGCTGCAATGCTGAGCAACAGAATGCTTCAGTTTTTTTTGTGGATCTTGTCCTTAAACACTTAGGAAATTACTGGAAGTCAATTGGATTTAAGATGCTAAATCCTAAGTCTTTTCTGAAAGCATTGCCTTACATGACCTGCCCAGCATTTTCTGAGAAGTCTTTGGCAGAGCTGGGATTTAAACCAGATATCCTGAGTTACAGCCCAGTGTCTTAATCTTCAAACCATAAACATTAAATGCACATGTCTTGCTAGCTAATTTCTTTTGAAGTACATTGCTTCTTAATCCCAACCTTTTTATATCCATGTGCCGTAGTAAATGGTCAAATACTGCTGCCAGGCTCCAACCTGCCCACTCAACGCTGAAGTATACTTCACTCTCCAGAAGGGCTGCCAACAAGCTATCCCCTTGAGCAGGATCTAAGTGATGGAACCCCCTTCCTGACCCAGCACTGAGAATTCTTCTTTTCCACATCTATTTATAGAAAAACTTTCCCAAGCTCTGCCAGAGCCAAACCAGTATGGTACAGGTGGGTTACTCAGGAGACCTCCAAATGCTCAGTATTTCCATGGGAAAGGGAGCTCTTCACCAAAGCATTTCAAGACTATCTTCAATTTATGTTTTTTTTTTTCCCCCCCTCAAAGGGCCATTCAGTGTGAAAAGAGACAACAGGGAGGGAACGTCACAGAGAACTTCAGTCACAGAAAATGGGATTGGCACCGTTCATTCGTTCTGCAGAAAAATTCAGGAGCAGCAAATTGTCCATTAACACACAAGATTAGCCGACAGCACCATTAAAAACAAGGAAAAAGTATTTTTCCCCATATTGCTGAAATAAGCCATGGAACTCATTGCCACAGGGGGTTACAAATTCCAAAATTCCTGGCAGGTAGATTAGCCAGTGTAGAAAATCCAGCACAAGTTACTAAACATGAAGATATAACCTCTGACCCAAGAAATAGCTAGCCATCAGATTATGAAAGGTGGAAGATCATATCAGGTAAAGCTTAATTGTATGCCAGCCCTGCCTTTATAGCCTTTCTATGGCACTGAACACTCCCTTCTAAATCACAGCTCCATGGATGGCAATTTGCAAAGGTGAGCAAGCTCAGACTGCAGCAGCTTTCTGAGATTTACACAAAGACTGGGCTGTCTGCAGCCTCCCAGATGGGACAGTGTGGAGCACAGTGATAATGAGATTTGCACGACAGAACCACACGTGGGAACAGGAGCAAGTTTCCCAGGGAAGTTTTGGGCACTGCAGCTGTCATCTTCACATAGCTTAGCACAGGGTCGCCCTGCTCTCTCATGGCAGAGTAGCCAAAGAGTTATTCAGCTCTAGGCCTGACACAGCATTTCTAAGAATTATGGCTCCTAGAACTTCTAGAATTACTGATAATGGGACCCTACTGCTTTCAAAAGTCTGGATGCCTTTCCTGAATCAGGTCCAAGGGATGTGAACCTACCTGCTTAATGGTCACCTTTTGAAGAACGGAGACCTAACTGTCCATGGCACCAAAAAACCACTGACCCCTGCAAGAGTGAAAAACCTAGTTCTAGGCAGGAGAAAATGTTACACTGGGTAGAGTAAGCTATTTCTCAGACAGCAGATGAGGGTTGGTTGTTTTTGTTTTTGTTTTTTTTTTCCTATTGCCCCAGCCTCTCTATCCCCTCTATGAAAACAAAATGTGACAGCGTTGCTCCAAGAATTATTAAGACAGCAAAAACTGAAAGATTAGATTTATCGCAGCAGACAGTGGATTATGAAGAATAATTTATCAAACGTCAGAACAAACAGCCTACAATTTATAGGAGGCTTTGTTGAGTCAGTGAAATCTGATTGGGCTTCTCCCCACCTAATGAATGCCAAGCTTAATTG